TGGTAAATGTTGGTAAAGGAACTGTTTCCAGTGATGCCATAACAAAAAACCAACTTGATACAGCCTGTGGGTAATAAACACGATAATGACCAGAATATTGATCTTAAGGATACTTATAATGTCATCAATAGCAAATGGCAGACGTTCAGTGAAATGAACGCGAACAGAAATACCCTAGTGTGTTATGAGGATGTTCGTGACGTACTCGTGAGCCGTAAGGAATCTGTATTTCCAATGGCAACTCGTTTAGATATGGGAAACAATTATATTTATATTGTCAAGACACCGGTTAATAATGATCAAGGGGCAAACAAGTCTTATGCTGATACTAAACTATCACTTACTGGTGGTAAGTAAGGCAATTTAGATATGAATAACAATGGGATATATAATTTGGCTCAACCAAATGGAAACAACCAACCAGCCACAAAAAATTACAGATACTAACTTTTTGTTTATTAATGGAAATAGTGCCATAGCAGGACCTCTTAATATGTCTAATAATAAAATTACTCATCTTGCCAATCCCACGGCCAATGGGGATGAAGTCCTGGAGTGAAAGTAACTTTTTAAAACTATCTGGTGGAACAATGAGTGGAGTTTTAGCCATGGGTAATAATAAAATAACTGGCCTACCACTGGCAACACAAGATGGAGATGTAGTGGACTGTAAATTTTGTAATAGATACACCCCAGCTAGGTATAGAAGTGGTAGTCATTTGATATTCAGCCTACAAAAGTTGTTTACAACGTGGACCTTAATATGAACCGGACGAAGATACTAAATATTGCTTTGGATAAAAACCGTAGTAATAGTGCGGCAACTGTGAAAATGGTTAGTGATTTGGAGACAAAATTGGGCCCTTATACAAAGAATAGTGTGTGTAGAGAAATATTTGAAGAATTTTATGATTTCAGTGATGCTATAGTAACTATAAACTGACATTAGGAGCATCAGGTATCACATTTATAGGTATAAATCCAAATATAACATTTCCCCAAAAGACCATTGCCAATGTTCAGGAAGGAGGATTGAGATTACAAAATCAAACATTGGACTTAACATTATTCAGTAAAAAGAGCTTTACTATTTGTGTTGTTATGCAATTGTGGCTGAATAGATCACATCCTCGGAGACCCAGGGGCAGTCAGTCGGGTCGGGAGAAAAGGCGGGAAGAAAGTTTTCAAGAAAGGGCGAAAGAGCCCCTGGGTACCGACTCTCACAAATCGAAACGGATGCCGGCTCCTGATTGGGCACAAAAAAAAAAGCTTTGTATTATTGTGCCCAATCGGCGAACACGTCTCCTGAGTTCTTTTCGTGTTTTCGTACACGACGGTTATTGTCTCGATCACGGCTTGTCTGTCTCATGCACCAAAGAAATGCACGCAGTCAGGAAAAAATACAAGCTTCAGCTTACAACAGGTATTCACGCTTGCATCGGCCACGTCTTGCGTAAATATTTATAGAGAGTTTTCAAAAGATACCACCACGGCTGACTGCCACGAAAACGTCGCATGGAAAAGTAAATTCATATTTTTTTCAGTCTCTATCGTGATTATTCCAACTTGCTTACTTTGTCAAATGCAAGCGAACTATTCTGGAGCTGAATTTCTACAACCGTATCCAAGTTCATAAAGAGAATAAATTTTGTCATTGCTTGTTTACGTCCTTCACAAAACGTGAAATTAGGCATTTTCACGGGTAGTCTTGCAGTTGACGGCCAAGAAATGTACAAAAAAGCGTGATGCACATGCAAAATTGTTGTTTTACCTTGTAAAGCTATTGCTTGTTTGACTTTCTTGTCGCCGCCGCCTTCCTATTATTTACGATACATTGTGATCTGTCAAAAACAGAATACTCTCGGGGCTAATTCAATTGCTCCTGCTGATAGCATCCCAAACGTTTTTTCGACTCATCGGTAGTTCCTTCGTTTCTGGATAGGAAAGTAGAAAATAAAGGTTTCCCTTGCACGCACAAGCTTGGTGAACGAACCGGGCAAGTGTGGCGAGACATTAGCTGTCGTGTACGAACTCACGAAAACAACTCAGGCGAAGCTGTTCGTCGATTGGGCACAATAACACCAAGCAGTTTTTGTGCCCAATCAGGAGCCGCCAGCCGCTTGAATTTTTGGAAATAGTTCGGTGAGAGTCGGTACCCAGGGTCTCTTTCGCCCGTAATTGAAAACTTTCGTCCCGCCTTTTCTCCCGACCCGACTGACTGCCCCTGGGTCTCCGAGGATGAATAGATCAATGAGTATAATTAACAATTATTCGCCGAAGGCGAAGTTAATATTGTTGAATAATCCCCGAGACGAAAGTCGAGGGGATTATTCAGCAATATTAACTGAGCCTGAGGTGAATAATTGTTTTAGTATATTCACACGAAGTGATCTCAACAGAATCAGAAAGGAAACCATTAAAAAACGATTATTTTGATTGACGGGTGAATTCATGCGTGAACACGAAGCCGTAAACAGTGGACACGCAAAAGTTAGATCTTTACAGTTTCTTCAAACATGGCAAATGATAATTTTAATCTTTTTGTATCGAGTTTTCTAAGCTTTAGCATGATCGGTTTAAAGAAAACGCCGAAAATTTAAATTACTGCCCAATTCTGAGAAGAAAAGTACAGCTTTATTTGTTTCTGTCAACTCACCGTGAATGAGAAAGTTTTCTTTGTCGCTTCTTGCAAATGCTGTCAACAGCGGCTACGATCAAGGTGAGCGTTGTTTATCTCCAAAGTTCTTTGCCTTGTTAACTTGCTGGCACGTACAGTTTTCGAAAATATTTGCCTTCCTCTTTTTCTCCATAAATTAACTTCTATTTATAGGCAAAATTGGTCTTGCAAGAAAATCCCGAAATCACAAAACAGTGACAAAGCGACCTCGTTTTTCTCTGTAGTGGTAAACATAGCTTCGAATGGCAAAAAGTCAACTACAGTAAACTACCTCACAATAATTCACGCTACTTAAACACCATGAAGTCTTTTCTTGCCTTCAAAGTCATCAGCACTTGTATTATTCGTGTATTTTCAAAACGGCTTTACTATGAAACTTTGGCAAAACACCCAGTTCAGCGATTTTGTTCTGCTTTATATTCACCGCCTAGCGCGGTGAATATAACGTCGTAGTCCGAGATAGCTAAACAATCAGATTGCTTGAATTACCAAGATCACTGAGTGTGTATATACTAAAAACGATTATAGGCAATGGAACTTATGAAAAACCACATTTGATTTATGACCATACAAAAAAAGGAATTAACACTACAAACTAATGGTTATAAGAGTCTGGCACCGGCAGCACAACTCGATGAAATTTCTATCACTTTACTTAATAGTTTTAATAGTAAACGAGTTGTGTTTTGGCCAACTAAAAAAGGTACTGACGGGATTTCACCAGTGGTAAAAACATCAACATCTAATTATTCCTCAACTTTAGCATCCCAGAGTAACTATAAATTCAAAATATTCTCAGAAGATGCAGTGATCCATAAAGTAATGCATTGTCCAAACTTCTACGACTTTGATTCCGAACAATATCACAAAATAATGTTACAAGAGAAGTTAAAAGGGTCATATATCCTGTAAATAGTCTAAACTAATAATATATATGAGTATATTTAACTTTAATCACATTGATAAGACCAAAACAAAAGAAGATATTCAGGAAATTAAAGAGCTGTATAAATATTACCAGTATAGATATTGGCATACAAATACTTTAAGAAACTAAATCTCGTAATAAATGTCTTTCTCTGGTTTGATAGCAATTGGAGCTGTTGCGGGTGGTTTGACTCTTAATCCAGCCACTTAAGGATATATATCCGGCGCTGGTTTGGCACTAAAGACTTTCTCTGAGACTAAAGATTATAAACGTAAAATTGAGATGAGTAAGTTTGCCTATACAACGTACCAGAAAGTGTTGCTCGATCTTAGAACTTCTCTAAGAGGGGGCTCATTCAATAAAAATGATTTCCTAAAAGGGTTGAACATACTTGATGACACCATTACTGATGTTTGCTCATTGGTGACAAAATTTGAAAAACAATACACTAAATAATTCCTCTCCCATCCAACAGATCCTAAATCTAATTAATATCCTCCTTGATTAGATCATAGATTTGTGCCCACCAATCAGCATAATACTTCAATGTCTTCTTTGATTTTGTAAGTGGGATAAATTTATATTTTATCCCCAAGATGTAAAATAGTTGCTTGAGAATAACACTAATCATCCGCCTCCGGTCTGTGTCAATTCGTTTTGCCACTTGATCAATTAAAGCAAATATTCTCAGAATTTTCTCTCTGTTATAATATCCTATTTGGATGTTATTCTTTTGAGCAGCATCATTCATGACATTCAAAATATATTTTCTGTGGTATACAGACTTCTTTCTTATCCTACTCTATTCTCATAAAAATCCACAAATTCATTCGCCGATTTAAACCCGTGGACAGAGCCGCAATTAGTACACACTCGTTTGAAAAGTTATATTTGGCTTCTTACAGCACCTTGTTTCCACACTTTTAACATCCGTCAATTGCTCATCACAAAATAGGCATTGCACCAGATTCTCTTTGTTTAATAAAAACTCATGAATATTTCCACACTCCATCTATACTATACTATATTAATATCTCTTCATATGTGTTTTTATTTAACCTAATATTAGTTGAACTCGATTGTCAATTCCGTGATCAGTTCTTGTTGCTTCTTAGTGAGTTCGGCTAACGCTTCATCTCTGGTACACTTACTATATCTTGACTTTGTAGTATAGCGTTTGCCATTTACTCTACCATCATAGTAAAGGAACTTATCAGCGGGATTGTCCTTGATTCTTAGGGTCATTCCAAGTTTAGTTAATCTCTCATAACTGTTTTTCGGTTTCCATACTGACTTGGAATTTGACCTCCTTTTTCTTCAATGGATTGGCTTTGATGTTGAGCAATCTATTGCCATATTTTGTAGTATATTCGTGTATCCACTTATTCTCCACTCTTACAAGCAATTTCCTGCTTTCACAACAAGTTCTATCTTGGGGTTATATCGTTTGTTTTTGAAGACTTGGCTTGTATTGTTAGATACATGCCATTTCAGCCGTGTCTCTAGTTCTTCACATGTAGACCCAATATACACTTTATCGCATTTCTCCAATGTTATTTTGTATATTTTGCCCTTTAAATAATCACTGTTAAAATGGCTATTGACTAGCTCCAATCTAGGCTGCTCACGTATTCTATAACAATAGTTCAATTCATGGCTATCCAAATGGATATACTCATATTTTGTAGTTCGCGATAAACATGTGTACAATTGTTTCTTATCCATCCTATTGACATCATATATGTTGTAATGTTGGTCAATATCTGCACCTTGATATTTGTATACCGTACAACAGAATCCTGGGATAAAACTCTCCCTAAAATCTTTCATATCAAACCATATATTATTTACCATATCACTGTTCTCACTAATACTTCCAATTGTGAATTCCATCATATTGTACATCTCATGTTTCTTAAGATTCTGTGTAACAATTATGGGCATATCAGCAGCTAGTTTGTAGCGGAGCTCCACCCGCGCGCGAAGCGCGCGAGTGGACGGAGCTCCATAGCTAAGGAAATGTGGTAATCTACCCATCCGAGAAAATTTGGTAATCACGTGACCGTACGCCCGACCGTCCGTCCGCACCACAGGGGAACCAATGTTTTCTCCCACACTTTCTAGCTAGTTTGGGAGCCCAATAGAAAACTAATTGCACATCAATGTTGTGATCAATTGACAGCTGTCAAAACAGGATATCCGCTGACCAGTGTCACCTGACCGTACCGCGGGCTCAGGTGTCGACCCATCGAGGTGGAGTACTTTTTTGAAGTTATCCGCTGACAAATTACCAGTTTCAAATGATCGCAGGCTCAAGTCTATTTTTTCCAATGATTCATATGAAATATGTTGTGTTTATGTCACTGTGGCCCCGCACTGTCAAGATTTTGATTTCAAACTGACCTCGGACGCGAAAATTCAGCCACTTTTTTAAACGGAAATAAAGGCGGGGAAGACCTTTTCTTACCATGGTCGCGCGTTGGTCACGCTCTACGTCCAATTTTTGTACTCTGATTGGTCAAAATTTGACAGGTGAGTTCATGCGGAAAATTTATGCAGCATCTTGAAAGTTGTTTACTTTGACAGCTAAAGCTGGCAGAGTTTTGTGTCAACTTGTGATGTTTTTAACTGTCTTTTTCCACTGGATGTACAAAATGAAATACAGCTGCTATCAAGAGTCTTCTGTTATCCATGGCTGGTTTGTTTATTGGGTTTTTGGTTTAGAAATGCGTCGCTTGTCAAAATTGGGTAATCCGATTTCGGATGGCATCGTTTTCGTCTTTCACCTTGCTCAATGCGTAAGAGGGCTTAAAAGTCTCAAGCAACTATGGCCTTCCTTGATATCTTTCAGGAACTGAATCTCGAATGGTAAGCCTGAGTAATTATTGTATTTGATGTTTGTTTTTGTTACATCTAATTTCATGAAGTCGAGCACAGTTTATGCGGCAAGTTTTTGCACGTTTGTTAAGATTTGAGTCAATGATCTGATCTAGTATCAGGTTTGATATAAGCTTACAGAACTTTAAAAGGCCTTCAGATTTTTTTTTTCACGGCAAATAGAAAAAAAACGTTCCGAAGAATATTTAGTTATAAATTTGGCTGTAGAAAGAAAACTTTGAGTGATTTTCTTGCTTCGAGGAGTTCATCTTTGAAAAAAAAAAACAAACACCGGGAGGCCGGCTGAAAGTAAAACAAAATAAACTTAAGCTTAAGCTTTAAGCTTAAAGACTCAGGATTTTTAGAGACACTTTAATACTTGTCTTCGTGAATGAAAATTGTTGTCTCTGTAAATGTTTTACCGAATTAGATTTCTTTTATTGATTGTTAGTAGTCTCTCTTGCAATTTTAATCGCTTGTCCGTGGTGTTTGTTTTCATCGTTCATGAACATCGCTTGCAGGAGTACTTAGAAATGTCGCGCGTATCAAACGCTTTATAAGATTACACATCGTTATAACTGGAACCATTAAATAACAAAAAGTAATGATAATAAATTCGTTATTATGTTGAAGCGTATCTCCATTAAAGTTCATTCAAACACTCGACCACAATGACAGCTCGCACTAAAAATGAGAACCGGCTGGCCGTATGGGTGATTTTGGAAATTTTTTGAACGGTTTCGCTAAAAGCCCACGATTGATCGTCCTGAACATTGAAAAATTGTGAAATGCCGTATTCTGTCCGAGGTCTGTATGATAAAAAGTACTGTTTCACCTCAGATGTGATGTATAAAAAGTATAAAAGGTTGGTTTACACACCCTCAGATTTGTTGGCAAGAATTTGTAAAGTAAACCTGTCGAACGCAAAAAAATGCGGCCTGATTTGTTTTCCAAGAATTTGTTTTCGAGGCCTAATCTACTGTGATCAAGAGCCATTATGGCTCTTGAATGTGATAGAAGATGTTTGCTATTTTTTGGGTGTACATATATTTAGGCTATCAACTCGATGTAAGATGTATCACTCTAAAATAACTTATCCTTTCCCTCAAAAGTCACATGAATGTGCCCTTAAGTTAACTGATTTGTGGATTACAAGTTTATTGTTTGATTTAAAATATAAACTTATTAATGGGAGCTTCGCTTTTAGCCCTGGCTAAATCTATATATTACTGCTTCACTTTACCGTTATACTTGAACTGCATCGGTAAATGTAAAACTGTATGTAAACTGTATCTGTAAAACTGTATGTAAATGTTGGAATGAAGTGTCCTTAGTAAATCCACTAATACCGGCCAATTTGAGTTCTTCAAAACGGAATTCAAGAATGGAAACAGGCTTCTTCTCATAATATACTATATTCGGCTGTACCGGCTCAGGATTCATCTTAGATCCACTTTCAAAAAACTATGTCAGCCGCTTTACATTACTCTTTTTTGTCTGGCTCTAGCTTTGGTGAAATAGGTGCATCCACACCTTTATCATTCGAATTAACTCAGCTTTAGACATATTCATAAGTTCAGCATCAAACATATTCATATCTATATTATTAAGGTAGATGATTTGTCCAGTCATTAATATTATATAGCGGTATCTCCTTATATGTGTTTCGTTTTTGCCAAATAATTAGCTAAAATAGGCCGCATGAACAGTAGAACTCGCGCTGAGGTCCATTTTAACAAAATGCCTGACAGCGGTAGTTGAAAACCCTCGCTGAGACCCATTTTAACGAAATGCCCCGCAGCGCTAGTTAGAGAGAAATTGGCCGGAGCAAATTGTAGATTTTTGGAATTGGCCAAATGAGGGCTCTCCAGGCGAGAAAATGTGTCATATGGGGGTTCTCCGGGGCATATACGCGAAAATCAATGAAATGGGCCGCAGCGGTTGGAAGGAAATGGGGCTGAGCGAGAGTAAAAAGTGGGTGTGAAAAATCGCCGGCACAACTACTATAGTTAGAATAAACCCTGGAAGCTTTTAGAGTTTCAAAAGAACTGGTAAACATACAACAATCATGGGAATCAGTGAAATTAATAGAAAAGAACACTGACACTAAATCCTTTACTTCTTCCATGACAGTAACTACGATTTCCTATCCTGCCCGTAGAACGTTATTCATTTCACCTTTTAAACAATGCATTGCCGTTACATACGCCCTATAAGCTTTAATTTGAAATTTCTCGTCTCGTGATGTTTAAAATGTATCTCTAAAAGTATTAGAGTTTCTTGGTAAATCAGTAATAAGCTACCTCAAATAAGACTTTCGACTCTTTTAAAATGTTACTTAGGAGGATATTTCTGGTTACGACGACTGGTTAGTTTTGAACGACAGCTCCTGCCTTGTATGAGTTCTTTTATGCTGTCGTAGAACTCCTGCCCGTGTGAAACACCTGCCACATTTGCGGCACTTAAAAGGTTTCTCTCCTGTATGAATTCTTTCATGCTCGTTCAGATGTCCTTTGTGACCAAAACACTTACTACAATACCGACACTTGAAGGGCTTCTCTCCTGTGTGAGTTTTTGCATGCTGGTTCAGAATTCCCTTGGTAAGGAACCTCTTGCCACAGTAGTTGCATGCAAAAGGTTTTTCATCCGTGTGAGTCCTTTCATGTGCACTAAGCCTACATTTTCCTGAAAAACGTTTGTTACAATGCTTGCACTGGAAAGCTTGTCTTTCTGCACGTTCTGTTTTGCTGCACTTCAGGTTTCCTTCATTTAACAAAAAAAAGTTGTCGTAGTGGTTAAATTCCATTGGGTTTTCTCCATGTTCTTCGTGCCTATTTATAGTTCCCATTTGACTTGTGCATATCTCGCCATCTTCACAGAGTACGAGCGTTTGCACAGATGAAGGTAATGCCACAACATTCTCAAGCACTGTCAAAGACAATTCAGAGTAATCGGCATTAAGCTCCTTTCGGTTGACACGCTGCAGGGATAAACGGGGGGTAAAAGGGGGGTTTTCTGCGCAGGTTGGTGACCGATCGCTCCATACAAGAATTTTAATTCCTTTGCAAGTCTGTTTGCAAGATGAAATATGTGCTTTATATGCTAAATTATAGAGATGTGATGGTGAATTTTGAACCTGGTGAATTCATGAGAAGACTATTTTTCAATCAGTGATACAGGCGGTTCGTAAGAAAAAATCCGAGTATTCCCAATAGGAGTCCAACCTATATTCACAAATAAATATAGCTAGATTGCAATTAAAACGAGGTACATCTCTGTGAAAGGTGTTAAGGTGGATCAATGCCATGTGGTGGTAAAATCACGAATGATAGACTGAAATGAGTCCAACGACAGGAAGTATAGGGCAAGAACGGAATGCCTGAAACAGACTAAGTTGAAGCAAAAAGGCTCTGCTGCGGAAAGACTTCAGTATACAGCAAATCAACTTGCAGCAAAATGACTTTGTAGCAAAACGACCGGCAAGCACTATAGCTGGCCACTTAAAGGAGTACTAGATAGTCACCGCCTTTTTGAGGGGGAAGGGGGGCGGTGGGGGTTAACTGGTGGTGGGGTGTACCAAAAACAGATATCGACATTCTATTCCTAGTCTCATTCTCCCTATTTGTATCTTGGGAAGAAATGCCGCCGTTCACTTGGGTTCACAGATGCATCGGTTTATGATTGTGGCCCCAGGAACTTGCATAAAGCGGGCGCGTTCCGGCTCACATGAGAGGGCCCTGATCTCCATTGATGATGGAGAAAGCACCAAAAAGGGTAAAAATAATAAAGCAAATTTAACTTACGTGACGTTTCTGTTATGTTTGTACATTCTCTTTCCATTTCTACTACAACCCTTTGAGGTTCGAACATGTCATTTGCACCTCTGGACTTGCCACGTTCACCTGTAAATTTGTTTGTTTGTAGATTCTCTGTTGAGGTAAAGCACTCATCATGTTGGTTTTCACTAAATGCCTCTTCGTCCATTTGGATATTTAAATAATGTGATAACTGGTGTGTTAATCGTTGGTGTTGCTTTAGCAGTCCTTTTCGGTTGAAACACTTATCACATTCATGGCACTTGAATGGTTTCTCTCCTGTGTGAATTCTTTTATGTTCATTCAAATGCCCCTTGTGACTGAAACGCTTGTAACAGTAACTGCATTCAAAGCGTTTTTCTCCCTTGTGATTTTTCTTGTGCTGGTTAAGCTGTCCTCGCAGGCTAAACTTCGTACCACACTGCTTACATTCAAAACAATTTTGTCCTGTGTGACAAAGCATGTTATGCTGTTCTTGGTCATCTATTTTCGCAAAACGCGTATTGCAACGGTTGCATATCAGTGGGTTTGCTTCATTTTGTCTGTATTCGCGTTCATTTTTCAGTAGACCTGCATGCAATTCCCTTGTTGCTGGGACTGTTTGATTGGTACTTCCGGGTAAAACAACTATGTCTTTGCAACCTACATGCAAATACAGAAATATGCATTAGTATACTTCAAAATATCTCATAAAATGTTTGACATGGCGTACAGGAAATGGACCAGAAAACTATTTAGAATTAGGATGAAAGATCATTACAAATGACCTCCTGCCACGAAATGAAACGCAGTCCCCTGTCACCCCCGTCATCCCGTGACGGATTGTAATCTATTTTAGGTTTTAGTGAACCATACTCAAATTTGACTTAAAATTCGCCTTATAATAAGGAGACAAAGGTCATAAATAAATGTTTTTCAAACTAGAATTCAGGTTAAAATAGTTTTCATCTAGTCTGATTCTTTATTTTCGTTTGTCTTCGAAACCTAATTATTCCTTACTATGATTATTATCAGGATTAGGAGACCATGGAAATTAAGAATATTATTCATACTATGAACAATAAAGGGAGGGGCAACAGAGAAAGGCAACTGGCACACAAATTCATTTAATTTCGACTTTATAAGAGTAAAGGCTGCGTGATTACTAGAGGATTCAGAATCATCAAATCAGTTGCAACACACTCAATTTTTTGAAAAAGTTGTCCCTTGAAAAGTATAAACCATGAATGGTGAGACCTTACGGACTTGTGGGTATTATTAGAATTAAAAATTAAAAAACCTCAACAACAGCCTTCATTCTCACTAGTTCTTTGTGAAGATGCATTTCAACAAGGTTCAAGGGGCTTTCAATATTGTACATTTCTGAGCTTCCCTAGTATTTAGCAACTGTTCTATTGTTCCACCGTATGGTCTGGTACTTCTACAGAAAACATCCATTAACTATCAGTACAGCTTATGCAAAACTCTGCCAGCAGTATACTTACTAACACAAAAAAGGCAGCTCACATTTCACCAGTCTTACATGAACTTGGATGGCTCACTATCGAAGAGCTATTACGTTTACGAGATGTAACCATGATCTTTAAACGTCTCAATGGCCTTGCACCTTAAGTATTAAGCTTGTAAAATGCTCCTCAACGCGGCAGCACTAAAACACGGAATCCGGAATCCGTGAAAGATCGATTTGAAAAAAAAAATATCAGCAATGACAATAAAATAAATTATCAGATAGAAAAAAAGACATAAATGAATAAATTAGCTGAGTAGAGGAGACTGCTGTATCACTAGAGAAGTCGATTCCGGTGAAAAGACTCTTGATACCTCTTCTGGCAATGAATGCAAATTCTCATGGGACAGCAAAGCGAGGAGAAAAACGTCACTGACAAACACTAGTTCCTTAAGAAAAAGGTAAGTTATGTGGAGACAGACTTCGTTAAAATCGACTGAGGCGTTGTTTGTATAACTGAAAGGCGTCGCCGTCAAGTTTTTCCTGAGTGTCTTTTCTGGGTTGTCTTCTACAGTGTTCAGTTTTATTTATCAAGACAACTTACTCAAGAGAACCATGGCATTGTGGAGTTCAAAGAGAAGTGAGAATTGTGCATGCATCTGCTTGATTCCGCAACTGATGACATCAAAATAATGCGCCATGGTTAATAAGCCTCTTCAATAAAAATATGGATGTCAACGTAAACTCAATTACCGGTACACTGTATTCCATCAGTATTCATCTTGGCGAAAAGGTTGAACTTATTGCTAAAACACCGGAACTGTGGTCATGTCAAGGCTCGGTCATGTGTTGAGTATTCAGTGAGGGGACAATCACGTGGTCTTGTCTGAGGCCAACTACTACTATTCTTCACATTTAGCCACAAAGGTAGTATTTAACTGTATTATTCAGCCCATAAACTCGTGAATAAAAATTACTCGTAAAATTACTTTCATCGGCCTTGAAGTGCAATAACCCACACTACGGTAAACCTTATCAAGACACAATAAAAATAATATATTTAAGGGAACTGCCAAGAAAACTAAAACAAATTCTCTTTGGAACGATTAAATTATGCAATGTGAAATTCTTTAATTTTCTATCATTGATATTTGATTCCGTATTCCGTTTACGTTTCTGTTTCCTTTTCCGCTTCCGCTCCGTTTCCGTCTCCGGATTCCGTGTTTTAGTGCTGCCGTCCTCAACGTGCTTTAAGGATGATTTTTGGTTACGAAGTGCACTACTCAGATGCCCTGTCACGTTCAGACCTTGTTAGGTTAGGGCAAAGAGGGAAGCAGCTGTGTAAAAAACGTCTTAACAAAATTGTAGAAAATCCCCTTGATGTTTTGCACCCTCTCATACCATTCAACGAAGGACCCTCTAAGGACCTCAGGAACTGTAGATCATACCGTGTAAAGCCATGCAAGACCAAAAGGTGCCGTGATACCTTTATTAACAAATGCGCAAGTCTTTTTCAACAATTCATAGTTAGTCTAAGATTTTATATTTTTGTGGTTGTAGGATTCATATAGTTAGCGTGAAAGTATTTTTGTAATTATACATTATATATTGTACACCTTCGCAATTCAGTCCATACCGCTAGTAAGGTATTCAATAAACTATTGTATTCTATTCTAGACTCACTCGAATAGCAGTAGACAGAGCGATCAACTTAACCTTCTTCAGTGCAGCACCTCTGCCGCATACCCTGCGAGCAGAGGCTACATTTTCGCGGTATTAGCTGGCGTACGCCAGCTCGTACCGCGAAAACAGTGTAGCCTCTGCTTGCAGGGTACTGCCGCACCGAGCGTGTATTCCGTTTCAGGGCTTCTAAATCTTGGAACAGTCTCTACAGTGAAACTAGAAACTCTGACTCTGTTGATGCCAGGCTTGAAATAATCAGATGGCGGAAAAAAAACATTTTCATTTAGTTTGTTAATCTACTTTTTTCAATAGATAGCTTTTACAATATACTTTAACTATTTACTGTCTAGACAAGCCAATTGTTTCTTAAAGTTAGTAAAATCACTGGCACGCATCGAGTCTGGTAGTAAGTTCCATTGTTTATCGGCATGATAAGAAAAAGAATGAAGGCCATAAGTAGTAGTTTTAGGTACAGGCAGTGTCAAAATATAGTTGCCACGTAAATTATAACACGAAATACGTAAACTGAACATACCCTTCATGCAGATAGGAAACGTATGCCCATTCACACCAACTAAACATGTTTGATTAAACCAGGTTTAAAAATATGAAAAACAGACATGAAAAACTGGAGCACAGGTTTTTACACAGGATTCAAATGAAATTCAACATGTTTTGTAATTGCCCTAAATTTGCAATCGACTTAGTCAGTAAGCAGCTTTTATGAAGGGAATTATTTCAAACCATGTTTAACTAAACTGCTTTTAAACACGTTTAAGCTTTGGTGTGAATGGGGCTTTAGTCAGAAACAAACTTTTGTAGAGTAAAATTAGCATATTGTGTACACGTCTGTTATAGAGAAATACAGTTGACTTCATCCAATAAAATGTTATAGGTAGATACAAAGTCGTCTAATGTAAATCTAAGAATCCTTCTATTAAGAATTTTTAGTTTTTCGCATTTCGCGCCCCACAGAAATGCCATACTGATGAGTAATATTGAAAAAGCGGCAGGATGAAAACTTTGTACAGTTTTGCCAATGTCGTTTTGGTAATCATTTTTCTGAATCGCAACATGACGTTAAATTGATTACTGACCTTTCTGTAGACAGAAGATTTGTGGTTATCTAATTGAAGTTTGCGGTCAATGTTCAAAACCGAAAATGTCGATTGAGTCTTTAACAGGAAAGGAGAAAGTGTAATCGGTGTCTCCAATGACCAAGGCCTGATGTTTACTTTGCTTGTCAATCATCCCATTTCTATTATACCATTGATTTGCTGTTTCTACTTCCTTACATAACCATTCTACCAGTACCACTGGATCCCCGTGTGAGTAATAAATTTGATGATCATCCGCATACGCATTTAGTTTAGCCCGCTAAATAAAATAAAAAAGGTCATTTATGAATATACTAAATAACATGGGCCCTAGCACGCTTCCCTGAGGCAATCCTAGCATAACGTTCTCCCATGAAGAGAACGTGTCACCGATCTTGACCCTCTGTCGTCTATGTGACAGATAGTCTCTTAAAAGTGCTCAGCTTATGTTGGGAGCAGGTCAATTATGTGTTAATATGTTCCCGTGAAAGAGATGACGTCACAAATGTACATGAAATAAATCTTACATGTGAACTGCGGAAAATCTTTCAAATCTTTCACAGGAACATATGAACACATAATTGACCTGCTCCCAATATCAGTGGCTTCATAGCTTAGTTGACCGGTATCTCGAGGTCACGGGTTCAAATCCCGTTGAAGTCCCCAATTTCTTTCAGGCTTCTCTTACGCAATTGCGTAAATTGCACTCACAACTGCGACGATCATTCTTCACTTGACTTCACTTTCCGCAGTTGACGTGTATGATTTATTTCATATACATTTGGAAGAGTTTATGATACTAGATATTGGCCCAGCAATCACAGCTGCTGAGTTTTGGTGGAAACATATCATGGCATATCATATCATACCATGTACTCACGTGGGAATACTGAAATAAAGTTGTTGTAGTTGACATTTGTATCGTTCATAATTATCATCAGTACGGTTTCTCGTGGAAATCTTCCAAAGCTAGTTTCGGTGTCTAATTGTCTTTCCCCATTCTTCAGTCACGTAAGGCACTTGTTTACCCCTGATGTGCGTTTGTTTGAGCGAAGCAGGTTCATAAATAATTTCCCGGTACAGCTGTTCAAATCATCCACGTCGTCAAATAAATCAATTATATGGAAAGGAGTCATCTGCATATCTCACAAAACATTTGTTGAGCTATTTTGAAAAAATAGTTCATATGTCAGTAGTGTGAGCGTATGTATCTTTGTGGCTTTGTATGTTCGGATGTTTGTTATAAGGTTGAAGGTACTATGAGTTGATGTTTAGGAACCAATGAGATCTTGGCATCTATTTAAACATAGGCACGTTAAACGTGCATGAGCTATTTTGAATGCTTCAGTGTAACTTTAATGTTCTTCTTTAATGTTCTTCAGTGTAACTTTAATTTTGCTTCGG